AACATTATCGGATGTTAATGTGGCTGTGGCTTTTTCAAGAATAAAATAAGCAAACTATTCAATTCCTTTTTAAATTCAATTCTATTTACTAATTGCATCCTGTTAATTATTTTTAAAAAAAGTTTGCTGCATTTTAACCTTAGAATCCCAGCAAAAAATGACAATGAATGAACACTGCACGCGGGGTTGGAATAATTATTAGTAATTGGATCGTAGGCAGACAAGAGTCTCTGTTTAGTGATACATTCGTGTAGATTTGGAGTTACTAAATATGCTGTTTCTCCAAATAATGGGGAAAGGTTAATGGGATAGACTTGGCATCAAAGTTACAAAAACGCATTGGCTATTTAGAAAGTAAGCGAACCTGAGTGGTTGAAATTTAATTGGAATGGATCTTACTGAATAAGGATCAACCGGCTATAACCAAAGCTATAACTGGCTCAGAAAAAAAAGTTTCATTTAGGATTAAAATGCTTCACATTCAAGTGAAGATTTGTGGAATTACCTTTATTTGGTGTCTTTTGCACCGAAATACATTTACTCTTCCAATTCACTAAGAATAAGGGAGAGCTTGTGCTGTCTTTTGAGTATTAAACTCCTATTTCTAAATTATGGGAAGTGACAACTTTGCCATTTTCAGCACCATAGACGATAAGTGTTTGAGTTAATGTGATCTTATTTTTTAAAAACATCTTTCTTTGGCTAAAAAGTAAAAGAGAAAATGTATATTATTCAAAAGAAAGATCCTTTGTTTCTAAAACTATTTTAAGCTGATCTCGGGGAGCCTAGCTTCATAGCTTGTGTTGATTTATTTTAGATGTGAATTTAAAAGCAGGTTTTCCTGGATCCTGTTCAACAACATGTTCCAGATCACTGAAAGCTGAACTGTTCTATTGATATACAGCACTTGCCCTGGTAAAATTAATTATTGACCTGAGATTTTTCAGAGCAATGTCTGAGCCAGGACAATTATTTGATTGTGTATGTTAATAGCAAGATTGTCAAAGCCTTGCATTACATGACACACCTACAGGAAGGTACAACTGCAACCCAAAACAGGATAAGCTGATTGCTGAGTCTGTAAAGCAGCAAAGCCCATTAACATGATGGCTAACGGTATCAGGTCATACCTCTTTCCTCTTCCTTTAGTGCTTTTGTCTGGATTCCTTCATGGGAAACCCCAAATGCCCTCCATTCCTTCAACTGTGGGATAAATATAGCCTGCAGGAGTACACTGTGTGACAACAGAAAGCAGGATACAGGATCCCTTAAGTGATTTATTTACTGCATTTGTTTGGAAGGAAGGCTGCTGCTGTTTGGAAGGTAAGCAGGATGAGCACTTGTTGTAAGAGACTTGCAGATCTCTTGAATTTCAGTTCACTGACTCTCTGCTTAAAACATTAGGAAGTTCACCGAACTATCACAGACCTTCCTGGGAGGAACTGTGGATGGTATCATTTGCAGAAGGCCAAGTGTTATTTCTGGTAACACATTCCTGACGTAGAGGAAAATAGATATCAATTCAGCACCTGAACTAACCTTTTAAATCTGAAGCTGGAAGGAACATTTCTTGGCCATTCCTGACCATATCAATGAAACTAAAACTATTAATGGGAATAGTGTCACGCAGGTACAGAGGGAATGTCGTCCCATATATAAATAAAAAAATAATATTCTTTGCATTTGATATAGCCCCTTCCCTTATCACTTTGTTAATACGTCTCAAAGCACTTTGGAGAATATACTGTAAAGTGAATTGACTGTATTTTATGGGCAAAACGCGGCAGCCAATTACGCACAGTGATGTCCCATAAAGTCAGGCATTGAAGATATGCGCTATCATTGGATTTAAAGGGGCCAGAAGAACCCTTTCAAGATCCAAATTCAAACTCCGGAAATCTGTGCATTTTCCAATTAATTCAAAGTAGCCCAATGTGGATTCATTTATTATCCCAACTGGGTGATGGTGGTGGAGGGGTAGAGGGAGAGAATCATGACAATATCCAACATGTTTTTCCAGTGTAAGGTTCATGCTAGAGATACAATCTATGCTGGATTCATTCAGGCCTCCTCTTGTCTATATAAATGGAGCATTAGAGAATATCAGCTTTCTAGATGTTGTAGATAGATGCTGAGCTCAGAGAGACAGAGCTACAAAGGAAATTCAGAACCAGAAGGATTATGGTAAACCAATGTAGATTGAACTTGGGTGAACCCACAGTGCTCGGGGTCTAGGTCTAATAATGCGAGATACCATTTTAAGCCCTCTGTTCTTAAGGGACCGCTTCTGACCAGTTCATTGCAAAGCAGGCTGCTTAATCACACCGAGAAAACCAGGCGAAACCTTAACCTGGAAGTGTACACAGCGACTGGTGAAATCAATTAAATCTCGATTCATTTTGTAATGTTCCAAGAACAAAATGGAAATGAAACTCAAACCACATATAGAATTGAAAAGTGATTACTGGAGACTTTTCTAAAACCAATAGATTTTACCCAAAACGTGAAACATTTCTTTGGTAAAGCATTCGACAATTCACGAGTGGTGGTGATTTTAAAGAATTGTGGAACAGGCTCGAGGGGCTCAATGGCCTACTCCTGTTTCTATGTTTCTAAGTGCTGTATTTTTGGCTATTTGGGCTAGAATGTCTACCTTTTGCATACAAATACGTTAGAATTTGGAGTCCTGTAGCTCAGTGGTTAGAGCACTCGCTTTGCAAGTGAGAGACCTGAGTTCAATTCCAGACAGGGCGAAACCTTGGGCAAGTTTCCTTACTCCACACGCCTAATAATAATCCCTCCAAAAAACAAAAAACAATAATAAAATTGGTCATTTTCAATCTACGACTGTTTGTGGGACATTGCTGTGCGCAATTGGCTGCCGCGTTCGCCCACAAATATACAGTCAATTCACTTTACAGTCTATTCTGTGAAGCGCTTTGGGACGTCCTCCCGACGTGAAAAGCGCTATATCAAATGCAAAGATTATTATTATTATTATTAATTTGAAGTTGTTACAGTTGACAACCTCGGAAGTGCTTTGAGACATTATAGGCATTATGTCTAATGAAAGGATGAGTACAGATTATTAATTTCAAACATCATGCTAGTTACAAATTCTTGAATCGCTCTTTTAGAGTTTGAAATATAGGGGTTGTTGGCCACAAATCTGCTCATACTTACAGTATGACAGGAAATAGTCTTGAATTGAATCTGTTGAGTTGAATAAAGTACACACCTACCATTATCTCCTACATTAATCAGCTGTCTGCCCCCTACAGTCACAGTAAACCATTTTTAAATGACTGAAGTGGCAAGCATATGAATACACAGAGATTTCCCAGCAGGTCCATCTGTTAAAGGAATTTTGAAACTAGCAAGTAGAACCCGCTTTCTAACGTTTTGTTGTGAATCTAATCACATTTCTTCATATATTTGTGGTGAATTTGTGCTGATGAAAGTCTGGAATATCAACCCAGGGGACAGAATACTTATTTTCTCCCCCCCTGTGTCGACATTAAGCACATTCAGATCACAGATAAGAGGTTAGAGGCAGAGTGAAACCTGATCCACACTGCCAAGATGTGCATTTACTCCAGCCAGAGGATAGCACCTCCTTTATGTCATTCTCTTTGTTCAGTACATTGTAGTGTGTTCCCAGTGAGACTGCTTGTTGGGGCCTAATTAGTGCTGAATTATGGGAGGTTTTGTGTTATAGACTTGTGCCCGTTAGCCCACTTGTGCCTCAACTCATTTTACTTATCGGATGGACCTTTATAGCCAGTAGAGAGAGAGAGAGAGAGTGAGAGATAGAAGTTCTTTACTCCACACGCCTAATAATAATCCCTCCAAAAAAAAAACAATAATAAAATTGGTCATTTCAATCCACGACTGTTTGTGGGACACTGCTATGCGCAATTGGCTGCCGCGTTTCACCCACAAATAAATGGTCAGTTCACTTTACAGTCTATTCTGTGAAGCGCTTTGAGACGTCTAGAAGATGTGAAAAGCGTTATATCAAATTCAAGGATTATTATTATTATTCCATTCGTCTGGGCTGGTTTCAAACCTAGATCCCAGAAGTGAAAGGACTGCACTACACATTGTCCCATAAAATATTGTTGAACTAATAAGTGCTATAGATACATACACTCAGAACAGACACTCAAGGAAGACGTTTAGTGTATGAGGAGAACAAAGACCCAATTGTACAATCACTGAAGATTTGAACTTGTTACCCAATTTACAAGTGATATGCTTCATGATAAAGAGCAGTTGTTAACTCTGCTCACATAAAGCAACACGAAGGTCATGTCTTGCCTTGGTTTTCAGATAAATCCTTATACATGAATCTTAGGACTGATTTCGCATTGCAAAAAGCAGCAGTCAGCAGTATGTCAGGCAGGTAACTCATCACTGTTCTGTCACATACGCTGACTCGGTGGCAACTCTAGGTATAAACCAAAGGCACTCACTATGGCTCCTTCTGACTGAAGCTCAATGTGATCGGCTGACACTGTATACTAGATGCTTGTCACCTCTAAAGTTTGCTTAAAATCTGAGATGCCACGTGAAAGTTATTGTTATTGCAAGTTTCAAAGTTCACAGACAGATAAACAGATGGACAGTACTCGAAAATAAATCTCACAGTGCAGCAGAATTAGTCATTTGAACTGTGTACTTAAGTTTTAAATGACCCTATTTCTATGCTTATAATGAACATAAATAATAAAGCATTGTACAACTGTTACTGTGCTCATTTTTCACCCTATTCACAGTCCAGAACATCTTTCTGCTCTTGCAATCAAAATTGGAAAACGAGACCACAACAATCAATTAGATACAGATAAATGAAGCTTTGTATTAGCATTTCTGGTCAACAATTGAGTCACTTTGAAAGCATTTTTACGTAGGTGAGATTCATGTCGTGTTTGATAGGGTGATTGATAAGTAATTCCGTTAAAAATGCAGAGGAGAGTTACGTGCAGAGAACTATGTACCTCTCTTTTCCACAGCTTCAATGCAAATCTTCACAAATTGTGGAATCGTGGTTTCCTCCCGTTTGCACAGAGTCTCCAAGTGGCAGCCGAAAACTTGTTCTGCAATATAGCGGAGACACAATTAGGGTTAATCAGATATGTCAGGGATGACAACTGAGACAATCCAAAAATACAAAGAGGAAACCAGAAGGTGCCTAAATCACGTATTTCGTTGACAATTCAGAATTTCAAGTTCATTACACATTTTCACCTAACATTTTATCAGCATTATTACTGGATTTGATGTTGGAGAAACAGCATGCACTATGAATCATAATAATAATTGTTTTGCACTTGGTAGAATACCTTCCATGTTGTCACCTCAAAATGCGTCACAGGATTCAATGTAAAGTTCGTAATGACTGTGTATTTTGCAGGTTAAATTTTGAGTATTTAGCAAATTAATTCGGATTTTTTTAAAATTGGAATTTGCTGATGAATGTCACGAGCCTTGAACATCTCTGCTTAAGTGGGGTGAATGAAAGTTTGATTTTTTTGCCTCATTGATAAATAAATGGCTGCAACCACGAGAGAAGCAATTGAAATTGGAGAAAACAAGTTTGCAGGGCTATGGGGAGAGAGCGGGGGAGTGGGATTGACTTGGATCGCTCTTTTCAAAGAGCCGACACAGACACAATGGGCCGAATGGCCTCCTTCTGTGTTGTAGCATTCTACGATTCTATGATATTTGCAACTAACCTACTGTAAGAGTGCATTATGACTAAAATATAAGTCAAAAGCTATCTAAAATATAATGTTATATCAGGATAAGAATGCAAGGCAATACAAGGTACATCCAGAAGCAAATTAGAAAGTATCATTACTCTTGGAGTACTTGTCTAAAATTTGATTAAGGTTATCGAGTACTCTATAACAAGCATTTACAATCAATAGGTACAATTGACTTCAAACTAAACTCAATTCAATTAGAATATGGAGAGAAACAGTGGACAAATTATCCATTTGGAGTCGAGTTGAACAGTAAAGTAGGTTGCAACAGTATGGGAAATGCACAGATACTGCAGATTAAGTGCTTAGAAAATAAATATACCTTCATAACCAACACAGTCAACTTAAAGTGTCTATACGGTGTGAACAAACAAATAACTTGAAGAGGTGTATTGCTGTCTCACTGGTGAGGGTTTGGAAGTGAGTGTTTACTGTGACACTTCAAAAAATCCTAAGCTGTTCTCAATACTAACAACATGATCTAACGGGGCAACCAACTGAGAGTCTGCAACAGTCTTTTCAGCAGCACTGTTGCTGAGGAGTATGATATATGAACAGCATGAATAATGTGGAACTGGCTATTGGTAGTCTAGTTCCTGAGCCAGGCGGGTCCGTAGTATTCCAGGGCACTGGTGATGACAGCGCAGCCAGCCTGGCTCATCGGTAAAACCTGGAAAGGCAGACCAGTCACTTGGAGCAGGGAGCCATTCCACTCAGCTCTTGTTAACCCTGCAAGCGAAAGCCTTAACAGGTAGGGTGGTCCTTGCTGGACAAGCAGTGGGAAAGCTTGCCAGACAGCAATATCAATGGCAAGCTATATGCGGTTTTAGCTGGCTAGATTCCAGCAGTTACCTCAACGCACACTCTGGGGTCCCCAAGCGTTGGCTCTTACCAACCTGCAACTAATACTTTCCAGAATTAGGAAATCAGGATGCATCCCTATGGGGACAGAGTGCACATTCCATTCCAATAATCTATCTCAGGGATTTCCATGTGTAGGTGGGATGCATGGAAATCTCAACTTGGCTTGGATACTCTTAAGCATGATGATGGTTTTCCGCATGTGTCAAATACCCGGCTGAGCATAAAAATAAAAATGAACAACATCATTTGTTTATACTCTTGCTGAAAAGAGTGGGGGGGGGGTTTGCTGCATTTGACTTGCAAGCAAGGACTCACTCGGAACAAGTTTGAGTACTTTGAGTACCAGCAAACAATTTTTGCAGGAACTACGGACAAAAATGTGATAGATTACAATAGCAAAAGTGGACTTAAATTTAATTCACGTAGAATAGCAGAACTCAGAGCGCAGCAAGGGTAAGGTAGTCTATTAAAAGCTAGCAGCCGCCACATCATTCGGTTGATGAGATAAGAATGGGACATTGCTACATGACTATTTCTCATATCTACAGCATGTCATTCAAGTCAGATAGATAACCCCTTGTGAATTCATGATCAGTCAAATGTGTAGTTTCTGACATGTCTTTGGAACACATATTTTAATGAGTGTGGCACCCAAACATTTATCTCTTCTTAAAAGCAAACTGGAAGAGTCAATTATTAAGTCTGTACTCCACCCGGATTCAGTCTTTGAATATAATCAAACAATTTTGCCGTAACTATAGATTATAATATCTAAAGCAATTATATGTGTTAGATTGCAATAACATCCCCTCCTCACCCCACCCCCACCCCATTACGTACAAGCTCCCAGATAGTTGTGTTAATCGCTTTGAGATGTCCTGCTGACATGAAAGGCGCTATATAAATGTAAATTGTTGTTATTATTATTGATCTACACCAGCGTGTGTTGTTGCACATTTATTCTTAAAATTGAAGACAGCACAGAATAGAGGCAAACTCTTGAGATTTAGCCAGAATTTGAAAGATTTTTTTAGAATCAACTTCTAAATTGAACAATTTCCACAATTCTGTCCCTTCTTAAACTTATTTTTCAGGCCTTGCATACCCAAACTTTGCCATTATTTTAGAAAGATGTATTTCCTGCGTCAATTTCGAAGCCACATCTTTCTTTCGAAGCTGTACTTAATTCTGAGCAAGATCTAGCTCTAACCTACAATAATTTTTAATGGTTTCTATCCATAAAAAAAACTTAACAATTAGATTTCTAAAACAATGTTTGTGCATACGTATGAGCATTATCAGCAGGTATGATGTTTAAGATAATCAATGATTCAACATTTCTCATCAAGAAATCTTTCAAGCAATATCTCAAACATGTAAAAATATACCAGTTACTTTGGGTGGAAACGGCTGTTGCTTTACTCATAACAACAGAAAATTCTGGGTGAATCATGCAAAGTATCAGACTTGCTCATAGCACTTCAAGACATCATTCTGGAAGTTCATGGCATCTACTTAACGACAGTTGCTAAAATTCTGAGTAGTAAATAATATCTATTATGCTGTTAAACAATCTGGGGTTGAAGAAACCAGATTGCTGTCACAAATCAATGTAAGGTCAACAGTGTCCAACCAACCAGTCTCAGTGTTTTTCTAGTTGTGTTGAGTTATTCCATATCTTCCCAGAGCTCCATTGTTTATTGCTCAAGTGAATTGAATGAAACAGTGTGTAACGGACTTGAAAAGTGTTAACATGCACTTCTGGGGAACCTTGATCAAACTCCTTCCAGATGCACATCGTTACCTACTCAAGTTGTGCACAACAGACTGGAAGAATTCATTCATCTGACAACTCCAGGGCAACCCACTACTAGCCTCTGAACAATACAAATTGTTAATGCTTCCTCAAAAGACAATCACAGTGGAGAGTGTTTATATATAAATATTTTAAGTGGTTGCTGATGTGACCATTGTATTCACAATCGGTGGAACAAATCTGGTGTAGTTTCCAATTAGAATCCGCGTAGTTTTTTCCTTGGGTCGGAGACATGTCAGAAGAGTTGTATTTTTAGGGTGTAATTATGATGGAAATGACAGTGACATGTTTTGATATGATTTAACCATCTCCCCCCCCTGTCCCCCACCCCCATTTCCTGACCACCTTCCCCCATCCTCTCTCCACTGCAACCCTAAATCTCCCCCTTTCCCTCCCACATCCCCTCTCCAAAACTTGGCTCTCAAACAGCTGTGTGAAACACTTTGCAATGCGAAAGTTGCTAAATGTAAATTGTTCTTATTGCTGATCTACAGCAGCACATGGTCGTGTCTGTCAATCAGCACAGATTCCCTCAAACGCTCTTTGGTGAAAGATTCTGAGGTTATCCTCCAGTTGCAGTGACCTTGTTGGTTTGCAATCATAATGGACATTTCAAGCACCCAGTGCCAAGGTTGACAAATTTACTGACCAATGAGGTACAGCTTCCTCTGTCTCTTGAAGAGGCAAGGTTAAGGTTTTCATTTGCCGTTGTTTTGATGGGGTTGTAACTGTTTTAAAAATAGCCATATTGATGATTGCGCTTTCTTTTCAAAATCCTTTCTGCACTCTGTCTCTAAGCTATTGCAACTTCAGGCATCAGACTTGTTGGTGAGGACAATTCCCTCTCTCTCCCTCCCTTTTTGTTTACTCTGCTACAGTTTTGCTTCCAACAAAGTCTAGTAATGTTTGTTCCGTTTGCACTTAGTTGCTGATTCCAAGACTCTCAGTAGTTTATAATAATAATCTTTGCATTTCATAGAGCGTCTTATCACATCTTTGAGACGTCTCAAAGCGCTTCACCAAATATACTGGTAAAGTGAATTGACTGCATATTTTGTGGGCGAAACACGGCAGCCAATTGCGCACAGCAGTGTCCCACAAACAATCGGGGATTGAGTGACCAATATATTATTATTATTTTTTTGAAGGTATAATTGCCCCCGGAAAAGTGAGCTGCCAGTTGATTAACAACCGAGTTCCTATTTACTGCTAGGTAAACAGAAGTGTGTGGAGTATAGAAATCTGCCCAACATTTTGCCCTGCCCAGAATCAAACCCAGGTCTCATTTTGACATTTTAAGCAAGATTTGATGCAAGATAATCAGCAGTGTCAATTATACTTAATGATAAGCAAAGGTGTTAAATTGACATCAATTAATCATTTGCTTTGAACCGTAACCTGCCTTGACATCATCATTTTAGACAACATATTAAGTGACAATACTCAGCCTTAAGGATGTTCATCTAATCATTAGAACTGTAGTGTGGAATGTTACAGTAAAGATTGAAGATACAAAGGGACTTTGTTTTAATACAATAAGTACAATACCCTTTAACCAGATTGGTGAGTTGACTTTTAATATCTTGATGAAGATACACTTAAAAAAATTAGGATCACAAATTTAGCTACCATTAACATAATGTTCAATAGA